CAGGGAGAGAGAGGTGCATTTTGTACAGGAGAGAGAGAGAGACCAGAGAGAGACCAGAGAGAGAGGTGCATTTTGTACAGGAGAGAGAGAGAGAGACCAGAGAGAGACCAGAGAGAGAGGTGCATTTTGTACAGGAGAGAGAGAGACCAGGGAGAGAGAGGTGCATTTTGTACAGGAGAGAGAGAGACCAGGGAGAGAGGTGCATTTTGTACAGGAGAGAGAGAGACCAGGGAGAGAGAGGTGCATTTTGTACAGGGGAGAGAGAGACCAGAGAGAGAGAGGTGCATTTTGTACAGAAGAGAGAGACCAGAGAGAGAAAGTCCAGCAGAGAGAGAGGGGAATGCATTTAGTAATTTAGTACAGGGAAGAAAGAGAGAGAGAGAGAGAGAGGTGCCCTTAGTACAGGAGAAAGAGCGAGAGAGAGAGACCAGAGCAAGAAAGATAGAAAGACCAGCACGAGAGAGAACAGAGAGAGAGAGAGATACATAGAGCTATATTGAATACAGTACAGAGGAGGGAGAGGGAGGTGTCGGGTCAGAGAGTTTGTCTGTGTGACATGTGTCGGAACAAATGCCCTTATAAGGACATTTCCTCCAGCTCGCTCATGTTCAAATCGGCTTCAGTCCTCTCCTAATATACCGTCTATGGTGTGTGTGTGTGTGTGTGTGTGTGTGTGTGTGTGTGTGTGTGTGTGTGTGTGTGTGTGTGTGTGTGTGTGTGTGTGTGTGTGTGTGTGTGTGTGTGTGTGTGTGTGTGTGTGTGTGTGTGTGTGTGTGTTGCAGTACTTCTCGCTGTGTGTGCTGCTGAGCCTGCTGGCCTGCTCGGTCTTCCTGCAGGTCTCCAGCATCGGGAAGCTGAGTCTGATGCTGGTGATGGAGCTGCTGTACGTGCTGGTCCTGGAGCTGCCCGCTGTGGCTCTGTTCGACAACCAGGACCTGCTGGTCATGGCCCACGCCCTCAACACGTACGCCATCATGTTTACTAGGGCTGGGGATCGGCAACAATGTGACGCTTCAAGTATTGTGATATTTCTGGGCCACAATTCCGGTATGCCTTTTTTCACATCAGTCGGTGGCAGCAGATATAAGTACTTTGAAACGTAAGAATTGGATGCAACCAACTAATGTAACAGGGATCGAGGAGCATATATTAAATATTAAGTCTCATCCCGAAGCGCAACCAAAACTCCTGAAAATACAACTTGGATACCTACTTCTTTTTCAGGCTTCTTTTCCTTTGGTCCAGTTTTGGTTCAATCCAAACAAAACCAAAATAAACATTATAATTTATATAGCTTTCACAGAATTCCTTGTGGCCTTCTAGAGAAAATACACGCAGAGCCCTGTGCTTGATAAATGTGTTATTGTTTTTCGAATCACTCATAATCATGTTTTCTTTCTCTCTTCACAGAAACACCACCGGCTCAAGGTAATTGTCCCTCTTTTTTTAAATTAACCTTACTTCCCAGAGTTAGTGGCTCAAACGAACCATTCAAGTGAAACAGATGCTAAAGCTAACAAGCTAACACAAAGCAGCTAACCAGAGCGTTGTCCTCTTTGTGCCCCGATAATGTAAAGGTCTAGTGTTTGCTCATATTTGGGCACATGTTGGGTTTGTTATGTTGTGATAATTACTATATCCACCGTTCATGAAGTAAATACCATAGACAGATCCAGGACTGAGGCTGTAGACCCAGGACTGAGGCTGTAGATCCGGGACTGAGGCTGTAGACCCAGGACTGAGGCTGTAGATCCAGGACTGAGGCTGTAGACCCAGGACTGCTGAGGCTGTAGACCCAGGACTGAGGCTGTAGATCCAGGACTGAGGCTGTAGATCCAGGACTCAGGCTGTAGATCCAGGACTGAGGCTGTAGCTCCAGGACTGAGGCTGTAGATCCAGGACTGAGGCTGTAGATCCAGGACTGAGGCTGTAGATCCAGGACTCAGGCTGTAGATCCAGGACTGAGGCTGTAGCTCCAGGACTGAGGCTGTAGATCCAGGACTGAGGCTGTAGACCCAGGACTGACGTTGTAGACCCAGGACTGCGGCTGTAGACCCAGGACTGAGGCTGTAGACCCAGGACTGAGGCTGTAGCTCCAGGACTGAGGCTGTAGCTCCAGGACTGAGGCTGTAGATCCAGGACTGAGGCTGTAGATCCAGGACTGAGGCTGTAGATCCAGGACTGAGGCTGTAGACCCAGGACTGAGGCTGTAGCTCCAGGACTGAGGCTGTAGCTCCAGGACTGAGGCTGTAGATCCAGGACTGAGGCTGTAGATCCAGGACTGAGGCTGTAGCTCCAGGACTGAGGCTGTAGATCCAGGACTGAGGCTGTAGATCCAGGACTGAGGCTGTAGCTCCAGGACTGAGGCTGTAGATCCAGGACCGAGGCTGTAGACCCAGGACTGAGGCTGTAGACCCAGGACTGCTGAGGCTGTAGACCCAGGACTGCTGAGGCTGTAGACCCAGGACTGAGGCTGTAGATCCGGGCCTGAGGCTGTAGATCCAGGACTGAGGCTGTAGATCCAGGACTGAGGCTGTAGATCCAGGACTGAGGCTGTAGATCCAGGACTGAGGCTGTAGATCCGGGACTGAGGCTGTAGATCCAGGACTGAGGCTGTAGACCCAGGACTGAGGCTGTAGACCCAGGACTGAGGCTGTAGATCCAGAACTGAGGCTGTAGACCCAGGACTGAGGCTGTAGACCCAGGACTGAGGCTGTAGACCCAGGACTGAGGCTGTAGACCCAGGACTGAGGCTGTATACCCAGGACTGAGGCTGTAGGCCCAGGACTGAGGCTGTAGACCCAGGACTGAAGCTGTAGACCCAGGACTGAAGCTGTAGACCCAGGACTGAGGCTGTAGACCCAGGACTGAGGCTGTAGACCCAGGACTGAAGCTGTAGACCCAGGACTGCTGAGGCTGTAGACCCAGGACTGAAGCTGTAGACCCCGGACTGAGGCTGTAGATCCAGGACTGAGGCTGTAGACCCAGGACTGAGGCTGTAGACCCAGGACTGAGGCTGTAGCTCCAGGACTGAGGCTGTAGCTCCAGGACTGAGGCTGTAGCTCCAGGACTGAGGCTGTAGATCCAGGACCGAGGCTGTAGCTCCAGGACTGAGGCTGTAGATCCAGGACCGAGGCTGTAGACCCAGGACTGAGGCTGTAGACCCAGGACTGCTGAGGCTGTAGACCCAGGACTGCTGAGGCTGTAGACCCAGGACTGCTCAGGCTGTAGACCAAGGACTGCTGAGGCTGTAGATCCAGGACTGAGGCTGTAGATCCAGGACTGAGGCTGTAGATCCAGGACTGAGGCTGTAGACCCAGGACTGAGGCTGTAGACCCAGGACTGAGGCTGTAGATCCAGAACTGAGGCTGTAGACCCAGGACTGAAGCTGTAGACCCAGGACTGAAGCTGTAGACCCCGGACTGAGGCTGTAGACCCAGGACTGAGGCTGTAGACCCAGGACTGAAGCTGTAGACCCAGGACTGAAGCTGTAGACCCAGGACTGAGGCTGTAGACCCAGGACTGCTGAGGCTGTAGATCCAGGACTGAGGCTGTAGATCCAGGACTGAGGCTGTAGACCCAGGATTGAAGCTGTAGACCCAGGACTGAGGCTGTAGACCCAGGACTGAAGCTGTAGACCCAGGACTGAAGCTGTAGACCCAGGACTCAAGCTGTAAACCCAGGACTGAAGCTGTAGACCCAGGACTGAAGCTGTAGACCCAGGACTGAGGCTGTAGACCCAGGACTGAGGCTGTACATCCAGGACTGAGGCTGTAGACCCAGGACTGAAGCTGTAGACCCAGGACTGAAGCTGTAGATCCAGGACTGAGGCTGTAGACCCAGGACTGATGCTGTAGACCCAGGACTGAAGCTGTAGACCCAGGACTGAGGCTGTAGACCCAGGACTGAAGCTGTAGACCCAGGACTGAGGCTGTAGACCCAGGACTGAAGCTGTAGACCCAGGACTGAGGCTGTAGACCCAGGACTGAAGCTGTAGACCCAGGACTGAAGCTGTAGACCCAGGACTGAGGCTGTAGACCCAGGACTGAAGCTGTAGACCCAGGACTGAAGCTGTAGACCCAGGACTGAAGCTGTAGACCCAGGACTGAAGCTGTAGACCCAGGACTGAAGCTGTAGACCCAGGACTGAAGCTGTAGACCCAGGACTGAAGCTGTAGACCCAGGACTGAAGCTGTAGACCCGGACTGAGGCTGTAGACCCAGGACTGAAGCTGTAGACCCGGACTGAGGCTGTAGACCCAGGACTGAAGCTGTAGACCCAGGACTGAGGCTGTAGACCCAGGACTGAAGCTGTAGACCCAGGACTGAAGCTGTAGACCCAGGACTGAAGCTATAGACCCAGGACTGAAGCTGTAGACCCAGGACTGAGGCTGTAGACCCAGGACTGAGGCTGTAGACCCAGGACTGAGGCTGTACATCCAGGACTGAGGCTGTAGACCCGGACTGAGGCTTCTCTAACCAGTGTATATGTGTGTGTGGTTGTGTTTGCAGCTGTGGCGTGGACATAAAGGTTCCTCTGAAGATCATGACTCCCATCATCATCACCGTCTTCGTCCTGGCGCTGTATCTCCACGCGCAGCAGGTGGAGTCCACGGCACGACTCGACTTTCTCTGGAAACTACAGGTCAGAAGAAAAACGATTCACGATTTAAAGATGTATATGATGATGGACCCAAGAGATAGTTTGAGGCAAGAAGGTCCTGGGTTTGATTCCACCTCCAGGCCTTTCTGTGTGGAGTTTGCATGTTCTCCCCACGTCTGTGTAGGTTCTACTGTCAGTTAGAACACTTTAGTACCAGCTCGGTCTGGATAGAAACAGGACCAAGAGGGACTAAAGAAGGATCTGATACCGGGTACGATTCTTTCTTGAGTAGAGCTGAGTAGGGATGGTGGAAACAGTCAGAATCAGAATGCTTTCTGAGAGAGAGACCGAGAGAGAGAGAGACACTGAGAGATACAAAGAGACAGAGAGAGCGAGAGAGATAACGAAAGACAGAGAGATACAGAGAGAGATGCAGAGAGAGAAACAGAGAGAAAGACAGAGAGAAAGACAGAGAGAAAGACGGAGAGAAAGACAGAGAGAAACAGAGAGAGATGCAGAGAGAGAAACAGAGAGAAAGACAGAGAGAGAGACAGAGAGAGAGACAGACCAGATAGAGAGAGAGACAAACACACACAGAGAGAGACCAGCGAGAGATACTGAGAGAGAGAGAGAGAGAGATGCATATACATTTACAGAGAGAGAGCAGAAAGGGACAAAGGGAGACGACTGAGGCTGTAGACCCAGGACTGAGGCTGTAGATCCAGGACTGAGGCTGTAGATCCAGGACTGAGGCTGTAGATCCAGGACTGAGGCTGTAGACCCAGGACTGAGGCTGTAGATCCAGGACTGAGGCTGTAGACCCAGGACTGAGGCTGTAGATCCAGGACTGAGGCTGTAGATCCAGGACTGAGGCTGTAGACCCAGGACTGAGGCTGTAGATCCAGGACTGAGGCTGTAGATCCAGGACTGAGGCTGTAGATCCAGGACTGAGGCTGTAGATCCAGGACTGAGGCTGTAGATCCAGGACTGAGGCTGTAGATCCAGGACTGAGGCTGTAGATCCAGGACTGAGGCTGTAGATCCAGGACTGAGGTTGTAGACCCAGGACTGAGGCTGTAGATCCAGGACTGAGGCTGTAGATCCAGGACTCAGACTGTAGATCCAGGACTAATGTAGACCCAGGACTCTGAGGCTGGTAATAAAAACCATTGTGATTCTGATCCTGGTTTCAGGCCACGGAGGAGAAGGAGGAGATGGAGGAGCTTCAGGCCTACAACCGCCGCCTCCTCCACAACATTCTTCCCAAAGACGTAGCCGCTCACTTCCTGCAGAGAGAGAGACGGAACGACGAGCTGTATTACCAGTCGTGCGAGTGCGTGGCCGTCATGTTCGCCTCCATCAGTAACTTCTCCGAGTTTTATGTGGAGCTGGAGGCCAACAACGAGGGCGTGGAGTGTCTGCGGCTGCTCAACGAGATCATCGCAGACTTCGATGAGGTGAGAGATCAGCAAGAATTTAAAAAAAAAGACAAAATCAATGAAAATGTAGATAGTGTAGTATAGGTAGATGTAAAGATGTAAACGTACAAGGATATATTTCTTGCACTAGAGCAGGCAGGTCAAACTCTGGCTTGTGGGCCAAATCTGGTTTGTGAGTACATTTTTAGTGGCCCCTAAAATGATTTTCTATTATCATTTTTAACTCGCAGCATTGACGATAATGGGCAACCAAGACATGTTATATATACTCTATTTTCCCCGACCAAAATGAGTTAGACACCTGCACTAGAGGATTTTAGCCAAATGTCCTGGATCAAAAAGGAGAAAAAAAAATGTCTTTCAACTCTCTATATCAATAAAGATGACTTGAACACCACTAGATTGGTTCCAGAGGTGAATGTGAAGATCCATTTTAAGCGTTTGAGTTTATCCATGATGACGGAACAGGGCCTTTCTGAGTGGAGTTTGTTGGTTTTCTCTGGGTCCTGTTCCGGCGACCTCACTCCCATCTTTGTGTGGAGTGAGAGATGAAGACCAGCAACTATTGTGAACCGCTTTGTGACTCTGGTCTGTGAAAGGCGCTATACAAATAAAAACGTACTTACTTAACCCTTTCACGGTTTCCTCAACCATTTGGCAGATCACCTTTTGAGTCACTATAGCTACTTGAAGCTTGGAACTGAAATATACCTCTTTGGGCATCTAACTTGGTTTTAGGTTAAAACTGCATCTAAACCACTTATTAAAGGCCTATAATAAAAAACCCGAAAATAGATTTGAGTTGTTAGTGCTCCTACATCTTAGAAAATAAAAGAAATAACGTTGCTTTCTTCAAGGAGCAAACATTAAAGGGTTAAAACATCTACTGCACAATAACAACACAATAAAATCCGGAGATACACACGCTACATGGGAAATACACAGCAGTTGTTTTGGTGTTTTGGTGTGAATGGGGCTGAAGTCCTCAAACAGGTTCTGCTGTGTCCTCAGATCATCAGTGAGGAGCAGTTCCGGCAGCTGGAGAAGATCAAGACCATCGGCTCCACGTACATGGCGGCGTCTGGTCTGAACGACTCCACGTACGATAAGGCTGGCCGCTCTCACATCCGCGCTCTGGCCGACTACGCCATGAGGCTCATGGACCAGATGAAGTACATCAACGAGCACTCCTTCAACAACTTCAAGATGAAAATAGGTACGAGAAAGACCCCCATCGCCGCCGTATTCAGCGGAAAATGTAGAAACATACACTGCTTAAAATCTGAGAAATGATCTGTCAATAAAACAAGGAAATATGACTTCTGAAGATTTCTGAAAACAGGAAAAAAATACTATCCCAAAATTACTCTAGTGTAAAAACATACATTTCAAGTATTATTTACTTTTTAAACATATTTAAGAAATGTTTTCTTTAAATAAAATATAACACATTTATTTTATCTAAACAAGAAAAGTTGGAAAGAAGAATACAATACTGAAAACTAGCACTAAGACTATTTTCTCTAATGAGATTACGAAGTATTATTATCTTTAAAAAGTATGGGTCAGGGTTTGGTAGAGTATGGAAGAGTATAGAGTATGGTAAGAGTATGGTAAGAGTATGGTAAGAGTATGGTAAGAGTATGGAAAGAGTATGGTAAGAGTATGGTAAGAGTATGGTAAGAGTATGGAAAGAGTATGGTAAGAGTATGAAAAGAGTATGGAAAGAGTATGGAAAGAGTATGGTAAGAGTATGGAAAGAGTATGGAAAGAGTATGGTAAGAGTATGGAAAGAGTATGGAAAGAGTATGGAAAGAGTATGGTAAGAGTATGGAAAGAGTATGGTAAGAGTATGGTAAGAGTATGGTAAGAGTATGGAAAGAGTATGGAAAGAGTATGGAAAGAGTATGGAAAGAGTATGGTAAGAGTATGGAAAGAGTATGGTAAGAGTATGGTAAGAGTATAGAACATGATAATGATCTATGTTGTGTTTGTGGTCAGGGCTGAACATCGGTCCGGTGGTTGCCGGGGTGATCGGAGCCAGAAAACCTCAGTATGACATTTGGGGAAATACTGTGAATGTGGCGAGTCGCATGGACAGCACCGGAGTCCCAGAGAGGATACAGGTACTGGGAACATGCTGCTGCTGCTGCTGCTACTACTGCTACTATTACTACTACTGCTACTACTGCTCCTGTTACTGTTGCTACTGAATCAGAAAAGTGTTTGTGAAGATACATAATTGTCTCAGTGAATAATACATAAAACACAAGATACATTTATATACTGTTTGTTTGTAGATAAACAATTGCATTTTTAGCCTTAAGTTTATCCAGAAGCAGTAAAACACAGACGATAAATCATTCTAAAAGTAATGAATTGATGTGTTTTGTGCTGCGTGGCTTTATTGAACATTGGGCTCAGTCACTTCACACATGAGCGGCTGTGGCTCCATCAACGTAATGAAAAATGTTAATTACGCCTGTTCTGTATCAGATATCTGTACAGTACACGGTGATAAATCACTCCGGACTGAAGGGAGAGCTGTACTTTAGACCTACGTATTCAATAATTCAGAGAAAAAACACATATCTTTATATATTACCGTAAGGAAACCTCGAATAAGGAGCCAGGTCGTTTTTGGAGTGTCTCTGTCTGAACAGGGCCTGAGTGATGTGCTCAGAGCTCACTGTTCATGTGAAAAGGTCGCTTTGTCAGAGAGTAAGGATGTCTTTTACTCTACTCTACTCTAACAAAAAATAGGAGAGTAGGGTAGGGTAGAGTAGAGTAGGGTAGAGTAGGGTTGGGTGGGGTAAAGTAGAGTAGAGTTACTGTAAGTAGGGTAGAGTAGAGTAGAGTAGAGTTAAGTAGAGTAGGGATGGGTAGAGTAGAGTAGAGCAGGGATGGGTAGAGTAGAGTAGAGTAGAGTAGGGTAGGGTAGAGTAGGGTAGAGTAGAGTAGAGTAGAGTAGAGTAGGGATGGGTAGAGTAGAGTAGAGTAGGGTAGGGTAGGGTAGAGTAGAGTAGGGTTGGGTAGAGTAGGGTAGGGTAGGGTAGAGTAGAGTAGGGATGGGGAGAGTAGAGTAGAGTAGGGTAGGGTAGGGTAGAGTAGAGTTAGGGATGGGGAGAGTAGAGTAGAGTAGGGTAGGGTAGAGTAGAGTAGGGATGGGTAGAGTAGGGTAGGGTAGGGTAGAGTAGAGTAGGGATGGGGAGAGTAGAGTAGAGTAGGGTAGGGTAGGGTAGAGTAGGGTAGGGTAGGGTAGAGTAGAGTAGAGTAGGGATGGGTAGAGTAGGGTAGAGTAGAGTACTCTACTCTACTCTACTCTACTCTAGAGTAGGGATGGGTAGAGTAGAGTAGGGATGGATAGGGTAGAGTAGAATAGAGTAGAGTAGGGATGGGTGTAGAGTAGAGTAGGGTAGAGTAGAGTAGGGATGGGTAGAATAGAGTAGAGTAGAGTAGGGATGAGTAGAGTAGAGTAGTGTAGAGTAGAGTAGGGATGGGTGTAGAGTAGAGTAGAGTAGAGTAGAATAGAGTAGAGTAGGGATGGGTAGAGTTGGGTAGAGTAGAGTAGGGATGGGTGTAGAGTAGAGTAGAGTAGAGTAGAGTAGAAACTTTGCTTTTGTCTCGTTCCATGTGACATTTATGTCTTTTTCTATTTGAAGTCAATAAAAACGTTGCTATTCCAAACAAAGTCCTTGTTCCTTTGGCAAACCTGGCTTTAGTACAGACACAAATACTTCAAAACCAACAAACATTCATTCATAAGTCTCCACTTTCCCTCAGTGAGTGAAGGATGCTAGCAGATGCTAACCGTGTGTTTGTGTCTCCGCAGGTCACCACCGACCTCTATCAGGTCCTCAGCTCGTACAACTACACTTTGGAATACAGAGGGATCGTCACCGTCAAAGGAAAAGGAGACATGATGACTTATTTTCTCATTGCGGGACCCCCGAACAGCTAACCCCTGCTAACCCCAGCTAGCCCCGGTAACCCTGCTAACTCACCCGCAATTTCTACATCATTTCCAACAAACCAGACGGACCGAGGCAACACCAGGCACATTCTGGACCGGTTCTGCTGCAGGGTGTAACGAAACGCCCACTCTTATTGGATGTAATTAAATCTTTTGAAACTTTCCCAGAGGACTTTAAACTTATGGAAGGGGATATTTTTTGAGACCAAAGATACAAGACTTTATCGGAGAAATCCCACGGAACCAGAAAAGACTACGCTCCAGCCCGTCGGAAAGACCGCACAATTGTTTACTTCCTGTTTCGTCAACAGCACCATATAAGGATGTCCGACAAAGAACTTTTTACACTTTTTGTTTTGTACTTTTCCGGCGGCCAATTGTCGAAAGCCGATATTTTAAAAGGAGTCTATATATTTTGTACAATGATATTATAAAAAGAGAGCTATCTTTAAACACCAACGCGATGATTGTACAAATGTCCCAGCGGTAATTTTTTGCTTTTGCTTTTAGAACCGCTTCTCATCTGAACACATGGGGTTCGAGCTGCATCTATGTGGTCGAAAAGTAAAGGATATCGAAAGTCAATCTGAATGCAGTACTGGCTCGACTATTGGCGAATCTGTGAATGAATGAATCCACACACACTGCAAAAAAGGACAAAAAATGAGGTCATAATTGCTTAAATTGAAATCTTAATGTGTGTTGATTCTGACTTAACCCTTATAGTTTCCTCATTTGGTAGATCACCTTTTGAGTCAATATCTACTTTAAGCTTGGAACTGAAATTCACTTCTTGGGGGCGTCTCACTCCTTTTTAGGCACTTTTACCGTCAAACTGCATCACAACCATTTGGTAAAGGCCTGGAATACAAAAAAATAGGTTAAAACAATGTGTTATTAGTGCTCCTAAATATCTGAAAATCCAAGAAAGAAAAAATGACATTGCTTTCTTCAAGGAGTGAATGTTAAAGGGTTAAAACAGGATTTGCCGATGGGACAAAACCATTTAGTCTTATTCTGAGAAAATTTCTTCTATTTTTCAAAAACACTATAATTTTTGCTTTGTCCCATCGGCAAATCTTGTTTTAAGGCAGTCAGAATGTGCTCGGATTAAGACATATTTAGCAGAATTTTAGCAATTTCTGACTTATTTTTCATGACTATTTGCAGTGTGTAGTCTGCACATGAACATAAACTGCAGGTTTAAACAACAGCTGATGGAGGCGGCTGTTTTAACTGGATACAACATGATTTAAATGCACTGGGAAATCCAAACTATTCTGACTATTCGTACTAAAGTCGGAGTCAAAATAATAAGTCCAGCAGGAGGCCAGTCCCTGTGCTCCTCAGAGTCCCAGCAGGAGGCCAGTCCCTGTGCTCCTCAGAGTCCCAGCAGGAGGCCAGTCCCTGTGCTCCTCAGAGTCCCAGCAGGAGGCCAGTCCCTGTGCTCCTCAGAGTCCCAGCAGGAGGCCAGTCCCTGTGCTCCTCAGAGTCCCAGCAGGAGGCCAGTCCCTGTGCTCCTCAGAGTCCCAGCAGGAGGCCAGTCCCTGTGCTCCTCAGAGTCCCAGCAGGAGGCCAGTCCCTGTGCTCCTCAGAGTCCCAGCAGGAGGCCAGTCCCTGTGCTCCTCAGAGTCCCAGCAGGAGGCCAGTCCCTGTGCTCCTCAGAGTCCCAGCAGGAGGCCAGTCCCTGTGCTCCTCAGAGTCCCAGCAGGAGACCAGTCCCTGTGCTCCTCAGAGTCCCAGCAGGAGGCCAGTCCCTGTGCTCCTCAGAGTCCCAGCAGGAGACCAGTCCCTGTGCTCCTCAGAGTCCCAGCAGGAGACCAGTCCCTGTGCTCCTCAGAGTCCCAGTTGGTTCACATGGCACTAACATGTGTCAGATGTACTTTGGTGCGAGGCCACCTTGTGTCTCTCTCTGCTGTTCACATAAACACACTGGAAGTAGGAATGTGCTGATATGTCATCACTCATCAGCTCTAGAGATCAGCAGCTGGAGATAGAGCTGAGTCCAAATCTCCTCCTTCACACCAGGGGGAGCTCTAAGAAAAAAGTATTCATACATTGACCGCTTCATCGGCAGCCGTGGTCACACATTTTAAAAAAGTAGCGTCTTAAAGTCCGGAAAGTACTGCATCTACTTTTGGAGTTTACAGTCGCTCCGTGCAGCGTATAACATTTATCGGTGAAGCACAAATTCAACACAAAAGTAACACATTAAAATCAAGACTAATTTCAACCCGAATTTGAACATTTTCAGATAAGAAGCATCTCACGTTTTCAGGAATATTGTTCCAGACATGAGCTGCTAACATGCTAACTCTGGGCTTCTTTCTCCTTGATATTAAAGCTGGGCTGCCTAACTTTTGATCCTCAGTAACACATGATTGTCCAAACAGAGAAAAGTTAAATGTTGTGAACAAATCAGACCAGAATATCTGCTTAAAAAGTAGGTTATCATAGGGCCCTATTTTGCAAAATAGATCCCTGTGAGTCACTATTTGACTCTTTGGGCTGAGAGCTGATTGGCCGAGTGAGGGAGGTCCTTTCTTTCTCACTTTTGTGTCTGAAAAAGACCGGATAGAAAGTAGAGTCCAGAGAAAGACCAGATAGAAAGACGAGACCAGAGAAAGACCAGCGAATCCAGAGACCAGCGAGAAAGTCGAGACCACACTGCAAAAAAAATGATCAGATATGAAGTAATAATTGATTGGTTATATCTTGATCTGCCAGTCTCCACTCAGAAAGGCCCTGTTCTGACCGGGATTCGAACCCAGGACCTAGCTGAGTGCTAACCACTCAGCCACCGTGTCACTTTAGATCATTTTGCTTTGTCCCATTGGCAAATCTTGTTTAAATGCAGCCTGAATGTGCTCAAATTAACACATTTTGCCAAATTTGAGCAATTTTTGACTTATTTTTCACTTTTTTGCCGTGTAGAGAGAGCCTAGTGACAGCCAATCAGCTCAAAGCAAAGATGACAGTAAATGTGTTTAAAGAGCGACTAAACACCTGTGCCCAGCCTGACTCCGCCCACATGGACATTTCTAAAAAGGGCGTTGCCGGAGGACCAAGGGACAAGAAGGGGGGCTTAGAGTTGGGTGTGGTCTGGGCTGTGATTGACAGCTCACTTGTCACACAAAAAAAACAGACAGTTTTCATTGCTGCTTAAAGCAATAGTTTACAGACCAGAAAGTCTCATTCCACCCTTGTTTACACACTAAGATAATTGTAAAGCTACACACCTGAATCTAATCCACAGAATTATCTCAGCAGCAGTGGTTGTCGACTCATGTAATTTAATTTTAATCCACTAGATGTCGCCAGAATACTCCAACCTGCTGCTGGGGCGTGTGTGAGAGTTGGATGGGTTCATATCACTGGCTCTGACAGACGCACGTCACACACACCAACTGACGTCACACACACCAACTGACGTCGCACACACCAACTGACGTCGCACACACCAACTGACGTCGCACACACCAACTGACGTCGCACACACCAACTGACGTCGCACACACCAACTGACGTCGCACACACCAACTGACGTCGCACACACCAACTGACGTTGCACACACCAATTGACGTTGCACACACATACTGACGTCGCACACACCAACTGACGTCACGCACACCAACTGACGTCGCACACACCAACTGACGTCGCACACACCAACTGACGTCACGCACACATACTGACGTCGCACAAACCAACTGACGTCGCACACACCGACTGACGTCACACACACCCACTGACGTCACACACACCCACTGACGTCACACACACATACTGACGTCACACACACCAACTGACGTCGCACACACTAACTGACGTCACACACACCCACTGACGTCACACACACATACTGACGTCACACACACCAACTGACGTCACGCACACCAACTGACGTCACACACACCAACTGACGTCACACACACCAACTGACGTCACACACCACCTGACGTCACACACCAACTGACGTCACACACACCAACTGACGTCACACACACCAACTGACGTCGCACACACCAACTGACGTCGCACACACCAACTGACGTCGCTCACACCAACTGACGTCACACACACCAACTGACGTCACACACACCAACTGACGTCACACACACCAACTGACGTCACACACACCAACTGACGTCACACACACCAACTGACGTCACACACACCAACTGACGTCACACACACCAGCTGACGTCACACACACTAACTGACGTCACACACACTAACTGACGTCACACAGTATTAGAGTCAATGGAGAGGCCAGGACCAAATTCAAATGTAGTACCACTGAACAGGTAGAGAGGGCGCCACACAGACGTTTTTTGGCTCAAAAGTGAGATTTGATCTAATTTGCACTAAAATGTCCAAAAATGACCAGGATATGTAGAGAGCACCACAAGAAACATATTTATGCAGTTTATGAGTAAAAAACAAAAGTTGATTTGGTGTTCAGTCGCTCTCGACAGACGGCCTGTCACAACATTAAACATTTCCAAAGCTCCTTCTGTTGGGACTAACATGTCGTTTATGAAACCAGTTTGACCGATGAACCTTTTCTGATTGACAAAAGAAACCAAAGTCCACATAAATGCATCTTAAACAGAACCCTTGTGACTAAGTATTTCTCACTCTTCTCTGTTTGCACTGCTGTGTCCTGTGTCCGCCCCCGTGTGGTGAAACGATGGTATGACCGCTGAATGTCCAGGACCCGCCTTCTCTCGCCTTGTTTGCTACTTTCTCCCAGTATTAGAAAAGAAACCTATGTGAAAATAACAAAAAACATTGAATAATGATTTGAAAATTTTATGTTTAAAAATGGATTGACACACAAAGGAAATGATTGTTGTTTTTGACCATTCCTCTTTCTAAAGCGGCTCTGTGGATCTTTGCTGGTGCAGAGTCCCAGAGTCGATGGTGAAGCCGATGGTCCCATTAAAAAAAGATTATTCAAAGTTATTCTTTGATATTTTTATCC